CGAGCAAGAGGATAAGTGAAATGCCCCGACCTGGATTTCCTTACTAGGGTAAGGTTCCGGATCGGTCCATCTCGGCCAGACTTGGCCATTTCAGATTAACCTCTTTAGGTTTTTTCCACTCTTTTCCTTTACTTACCCATTTTCAAAGTATTTTTGATCTAGACAAAACTTTTTAAGCATAAACAGCAATACTTAAATTAAATCGTGAGGTTCAATTACAATGATCAATTTGCTACATAAGCTATTATATCGTAAAAGACCTATCTACCCGTTTCAAGCCACCATCCTTCCCGGGAAATCTCTTTACCTACATCCACAGAGGAGGCATAAGCAACATAATTGCTTAGTGAGAGTGGCCATCCCGTCCCACTTAACCACATAATATATATCGCAACCAAACAGTTAATATAATCAATCAGTCATGCTAATCGCATCAGTCACTTGTCGGCTCGATTATCCCAAGTCACGGAGCAGTATTCTCGCAACCAGAGAAGCCTTAGCGAGCATCGCATCGTTGCCTGATCTAGACTCTCGGTGAAAAGAATCAATCATCACGATCAATCCAAAAATAGATAAACAACAGTCGGAATCACCCTAGACTCGATGAATCTATGCAAGAAAATGACCCTAGACTTAGGCCCACAATCACGCACAGACCTGAGTCACTCGGATTCGATTTGCCATGTCACGTTCTAGTTCTGACACCTCTTATCGCGATGATATCTCGAACACAAAGTCTTGCCGATCACCCATATTCCCCTATACACAATTGCCGTCACGCACAGACACGTTCAAAGTTATCCACGCTCAAGTCTCTCACTGATTCTCTCGAGCCTTTTTAATTTTCTCTCGATAAAACTATCTCAATCTATTTCTAAGTCTTTCCTTCTGTTTTCTGTCGAGAAACAAAGGCCAAGGGTAAGTTTCTATCGAGAAACTTCCTTGAAACCGCCCAAATAACCGTTACCGCACTTTTTCATTAAAAATCACATGTCGTGTCACAAGTCAGTAACTGTTCTCGTGCAAATACCTGAGAATATTTTCCTTAGCTTTCCAGCTTAGTCCGATTGTCTGTCGCGTAACTGTCCTGTCTGAAACAGACCGTGGTAACCATCTTGTCTGAAATCAGACTACGACTCTGAAAATCCACACAGCTCAGTTTTCCTTCCCTTAATCAATTCTCTCGGCCAAAACTACCTATTGCGTCCTGGTCTCTTGTCCGCGTCGGTAAAACCGTAGAAGACGGGCATTACAATTCTCCCCCACTAGCTTGAGATTGGACCTCGAATCTTCTTTCCTTTACCCGCGTCTTCCTTAA